CAAGTTACTGAACTACAGTTCTTAATTTGTGTAAGTTTTTAAAATTTAACTTTATTAGTTGCACTTCGCACATAGAAACGTATTAAAATCACATTGGAATTAAGAATTAGTCTTGAATAATTAATGTATCCCTTTTCAAGGCTCAGTAAATACCATTGTAATGTGTCAACAGGCCCTAATGAAGGTAGTAATCATATGTTCCATCTGCAGCCCTGTCATCCAGGTTCACAGTCATCAATAGGAAGTAGATAGTTCAAGAACTCTAGCAGTGACATAATGACTGAGTACTGATATAATGCTCTCATCTTCTGAGAACTTTTTATTTTTCAAAACTCTTTCAAGTCTTTTGATTTCTTACACCACCACTAGGAGGGGTTGTTGGGGAAATATTTAAAAAATCATAATATTTACATAGTGAAAAGTCCCTTATATGTATTATCTCATTTGAATCTCAAACTGACCTCCCATAGGCATAACGTGTAGTTGATGTCCCTATTGTCCAGGTGAAAAAGCTGAGACTCAGAGAAGTTAAATGTTATCCTGGTGTCAGACATCTACTTAATAGCAGGATTAGAACTGAACTGGAGATGAAAGAGATTTCTTTGTTATTGTTCATGAACTGGCTATAAAGACTATAGCAGGATGTAGTCTCCAGTTCTGTAAACAAAATATTTCATTGGTCCTCTGCTATAATTATGGTGTAAATACTTGGATATCTATAACCTGTAGTATTTAAGTCCTAAATAGTGATACAAGTAAATACGTTCTAAACACAGCAACCTCCACTGCAGTGCTGGAAGCCTTATGACACAATACACACTGGTACTAGAGCCATACGATCTCATTTGGCACACTGGTTCTACCATTTTATTAGATTTGAGCCTTTTTGAGCTCTTTAACCTCAGTTTCTTCTCTCTTAAGTGGGTATTGTTCTATAGGGCCATTGGAAAGATTAGAAATAATTATATCAGGCATATCTATGCTCACCCACCCCAAATATAAATATTAGTTTTTTTTCCTATGGTGGTTTGTCCAATTCCTTCTCATCATTTGTCACAACTTAGAATTACATTTACTTTTCTGTTTATTTGTTTCTCATCAGTATGTTCTACTAGAATATAAACCTCATGACACTGAGGACTCTGCTTATTTTTGTCATTCCCTTTTGCCTACTCCAATATCATTAGCCTTTGAATAAATATTTCTGGAAGGAATTATGCACATAACCTTGAGTTTGTTTTTATTTCAGCCCCATGGGATGACTTCCAGTTTCCTTGCCCTTTCTCATTTCTCTACCTTTATATTTGCTATTTTCATTGCCTATTATACTTTCCTTTACCTCTGTTTTTCTGGGGAGTTCTAACTCACCCTTGAAAACCTATCCCGGATCTTCTGTAAGGCCTCCTTGGTGAAGTTTCTACCCTGTTGAATTAGGGGCTATAGTCATTGGAGCATTTAATTAATATTTTTTCAAAAGCTATTCTGTAGCAGGCATGTGCTGGGTTCTGGGTAAAAGAATATGTAAGATGGGCCATAAAATGTATACAAATGAATTTTTTCTTCCTATTTCGCATTATCTTTTATTCATTTTGGTCCTCATTTACACTTTCAGTTTCTCACCCCAGAGAGACCATTCAGTATTTACATGTGTCCTATTTATTTCAATTAAGAGTGTGGCCTTAATATAGGGGAAGGAGAAGGGGGTTGGGAGAAGGGAGAGAGAAAATATAAGAAAAGAAGGAAAAAATGGAAATAAAGCTTTTGTAAATAGGAAGGGATGGGTGGAAGGGAGGGAAGGGGAATGGAAAACAACAAGAACTAAGATATATGATGTACAGGTGCAAATTCGCAATGATGAATGGGATCATTATACCTAAAATGTACCAATAAAGTTAATTTTTTAAAAAGAAAAAAATAAAACTACAATGACAGATGAACCATAGCTTAAAATAAAAGTTGAAAATAAACAGAGGGTGGGACTAGATCAATGGCCCACAATAGACAGTTAATTTTAAATATATCTTGCCTTTAGATTTGTCTCTGAAGCCATGTGAACATTTTATGTAATTATAAAATATAATAAAACTTTAGAGGCAAGTCTAAAATTCTAATTAAAAAAAAGAAAAGAAAAACCCCAAATTATATCCAGTTGGTGACATAACCACAATGTGGGGGCGGGAACTATTTCAAGTGATTTACTATGATTATTTGCATATCACTACTGGGAAAAATAAAACTGCAAAAAATTGTTTTCAATAACTGTTACACTTATTGGTCTCAGTGTTGGTATTATTATTCTGAAATTGTTGCTTTGTTATGTGGTACAAAGCAAATGAGTAACTATGTTGATATCTGTGAGAGTGGGATTTGGGGCATGGGAAAAATTACATACAACTGTAAGATTAATGAGGCTAAGTAAAAAATTCTGTAATACTGAATTTTCAATAAGCTAATCAGCAAGAACCCCTCTTCCCCAAAAAAGTATAACATCCTCAGTTGTAATACATGATAGGATGAGAAGGTGACTCTTGAGATCTAAAAGGTGAGAAGGAATCAGAAAAATGAAGGGATTCCAGATCCATGCTGCGCTGTGACTGTTTACTGACTGTTCTGTTTTCTGGCCAACTCCAGCCCCCCACCCCCACATCTCCACTTAACTAATTGCTGAGCTCCATAAATCTCTGTATTCCCAGTACCCATCAGAGGCTCACTATGTCACCCAGAGTTCCAGTCTGGGAAGTGCTGCCTATTAGAATTGCTAGGTGTCTCTGGTCCCAAGTTTCTGATGTGCAGCCTGGGCTAAGAGCTGCCTCCCAATTTAAAATCTACTCCCATGCTTATTATGATAAGGCAAGAAAATTACTCAACTGTCTCTGTGACTCAGTTTCCTGATCTATAAAGTGAAAATACCACCAAGAATTCAAATTATTATCAGAGTTAAATCAGATAACGTACCTGAAATTTTTAGCCCAAGTCCTTACACATGGAAAATAGTCAATAAATTGTTAGCAAAAATGGTTTAGAGATCATGAGGTATTTGTTGAATACATGAATGAGTTAAGGAATAATAGTTTAATTCTACTTCAGTAAATTAGATCAAAACAAAAATGAATATCTTAATTCATCTTCAATTGTTTTATGTATTGTGTATTTTGGACAAGAAAGGAAAAAGAAAATACCAAATGCCTGTGATGTTAGCATCCAGACTCAGGTACTAGTAATCCTTTATTTGCTTAAAAAGCAGACTTTGAAAGTGTCTTGTATAATTTGATTCACCTATTTCTGGATAGTTCAGGACTTTCATGTTCCAATCTTAAACCTCAATCAAAACTGTGAACAATCTGTCAACATTGGACTCTGTTGAAATATGTACTGTCATCTTTTAAAACTCATGATTTGAGTGCGTTGTCGTGAAAGAGATTTATTTTATGTATTTCCTACTTCATTTCTTGTAGGAAATCTTTAGGATATCATAACCACTAAAAGTTATGGCAATGCTAGGTGGATCAACAATTTTCTTAGGTCAGAGATACCAATGGGATTTGCCTGAGATATTGTTCCTACTACACGCAAATATTGAGAACATTTCAGCAAACCATTTTTAGCTGGCAAATTGCACCATGCCCATCCCCACCTAAAAAAATTTAAATGCCAAAACAGTATGTGAAGATGAAGGTATTAGCAAATTTGTGGCATAAAGCACTTAAAAAATAATTTTTCTCATATTTTTATTGGAAAACTCCAGGATCATGATTATTGTTTTTATAAACATTAAATAGCTGGCTACTTGGCAGTACTTTGATACTGGAATGCGTAGATATGAATTGTATAGTAAAAAAATTTTTGAAGTAATTAGCAAAAAGATTTTGGCAAGCAGTCTTTTCTGTGAGTCATCCTTATTTATGTAAGTAATTCATTCTGTTGTTCTTCTCAATCTAGTCCATACACTTTAGAAAATATTGTCCACCTTTAATGTTACAGAAATGAACTTATACTATCTTAGAATAAGGAAATAATTAACAAACAATTTTTCCTTTTTTTATGCTTGTGGCATTATTTTCAGGGTTTTTGTTCAAATACTATTCTGGTTGGCAGTATTGAAATATGTTTTTATACTTCATGAATGTAGAAATATGCACACCTATCAAATGAGAAATCCCTGGAAAAGAGTTACATGCACTGATTGGTCACTCTGATGGGGTAACGGATTAGGAAGCTCTCACAGGGATATGTAGTTACATCAGAGATTACTGGAGAAGCATCTGCATTTTAGTAGTGGTGCAGTGCTAACCAGCCAAGAACACTAGACATACTGCCATGGCACTCAGATGGCAGGCTTCATTTTATGTCAGTAGAAGGAAGATTTCTATTATAGTAAGGAAATTTACCCTAACAAATGGATTCCCTTTCCTTCACTGTAGCATTGCACCAATTAAATCCAACTATATGCATAATATACTCAATTCCTAACAGCCACGAAAAGCACCAATATGAAAATATTATGTACTCTTACATTTTTACAGGTCATGAACAGATGGAAAAAATTATGCTAATTGGTAAAGAAATTCACATGCATTATAGCATACCTCAAAGTGGTGTTTACGTGGATTTTTTATTTTAAAAATTATTAAAATTACCCTGGATAAAATTTAGTCAGTACTTAAGGTTTTTGTAATGCTACATCTGTAATTCATTTTAATTTATTCCTCTTGCAAATATGGATGTTTGAAAATACAAGTAACCTTTTAATGAGTAAAACAGATAAAAGGTTGCATCCAATGAAAGAGAAATTATGGAATGATTATTCAGTCTGCAAAAGGGTTTGTCGTATGACAATCTTTTCCTAAAGCATTTCAGATTTAATTTAGTTCATAAAACACTCATTTACACACAAGATTTCAGGGACAGATTTATGAGGAAATGAGAGAAATCATCATAATAAAATAGATCCCTTGCACTGTTAACATTTACTCTCTTTTTCTCCCTGCCCCTCCTTGCAGCACTGATAGCCATTGGGCGATACAGCATGACAATAGAGACCGTGGATGTTGGATGGTGTAAAGAAATTACAGATCAAGGAGCCACCCTGATTGCACAAAGCAGCAAATCTCTGAGATATTTGGGGCTGATGAGATGTGATAAAGTAAGCATTGTCTACCAAGTTGTTTGTTTTCTACATATCAGTATATTCATGAAGATATAT